GGGCCGTGGACATCCTGCAGAGGCTGCACATGTACGAGGTGAGGGCAGGAGGCCCGTGGCATGGACGGTCACGCCGGCCTCGAGCCGTGGGGCGCAGCCCGTGCGTGGGCTCCCAGCCCCCGCGAGGGTGCCGGTAGGCCGGGGCACACACACAGCCCTGGGCGGAGCCCCCAAACTTGGGGGGGAGCCTCACACCGCTGTGGTTGCCCGCAGCCATCACAGACCATCCCGAAACCGTTTACAATCCCGTCCAAAATTGGGTCGTATCCGTCCTTACGCTAACGTGAGAACCGGGACTCAGCTTTGGTTCTGGTGGACGGTGTGTATTGGGAAATGGTATTTTATGGAGCACATGCGGAGGCCCGGCTCCTGACCTGACCCGTGAATCCCTGGGGGGTTCCCTGTGATGGCTTCGGGGGCTCTGGGGACCCACAGCTGCGTGTTTGTGGGCTTCGCGCATCCTCAGAAGAGCCGTTAGATGTTTCCAGGAGGCCCGTGAACCGCAGAAGGCGGGTTAAGGTGCCCTCCCCTCCCTTCCATTCCGCATGGCGATTCCTGTACACACCGCCGGCGACATCACTCTGGGGCCTTCTCTTTGAAATAAACTACATCTCCCGGGGAGAAAAGGAGTTTCTTGGAAGATCAGTTGAAGGAAAATAAGTGTATTTCTAATAACAGAGTATATTTTAGACGCCTCAATTTAAAAGAACAGCCAAAGGCCTCACACTGGCTCCCGGAGCGCCGGATTTGCAGCCCGGCCCGGCCCAGTCCGGCCCGGCCCGCTGCCTGGAACCTCATCCTGTGTGGCCGTCGCTCATGACGTTTCTATGTTGTTTTGAGAAGAAAGATAATATTTTTCGTCTTTCTTGATTGCAGATAGTGGTCAGAAGTTATACGTGAGACTCTTTCAACGTAAATTCAGCTGGATGAAGCTGAGTAAATTGGACTATGAGGAGATCGCCCCCGACCTAGTGCCGGTGATCGCAGAGCTGAAGGAAGCAGGCTTTGTGCAGACAGGTACGAGCTGGCTCAGGGAGCGTGAGAGCGACGTATTCTGTGTTTAAGTTGAGTTTTGAGTCTTCTGAGGGCAGTGAATTACTCCTGCGATGCTAAAGCCATCGTCAGCCTGGGTTAAGGCAACTGTAACCTTCATCCCTCCACCAGCACCTGAAGCGCCCCGAGCAGGTACAACCAGGTCCTGGCAGCGGCACTCACCTGGCCTGCTTACAGGTGTGCGTGAGTTCGAGCACAGCAAACTACGAACACCTCAGCCACCTAAGTGGCATCGGGACAGTCATCATTCTAACGTCCTGTGTTCTTCCCACCCCGAAAGAGGTAACAAGGGAGTGACACGGCCAGTGAAGGCGGGTGGCCGTCGCCTCTGCCGGTGACCTGGCAGCCGGCCTGGGACGCGGGAGGGCTGGCCGTCCCGCCCTCAGCGGGGTTCCAGGAAGGGGCTTTTTGTTTCGGAAACAGTGATTTCGCTCATTCGGGGCGTGGGGGCTGCAGGCGGCAGGGCTGATGAAATGCACGTTCTTCCTTAGCGCAGGGACTCTGAGTAGTGACCAGTGACCCTGCCCCTCTGGGAAACGCTGTGCTTTGCCCCTGGGAAAGGTGTTCTCTGACTCGCCCCGAGCAGGCCACCTTCTCTCCCGGGGACCCCGTGGCCTCTGCGGCTGAGCAGCCTGGGCCCCTGCAGCTGCCGCAGCTGAGCCGGAGGGAACAGTGGCCCTTTGTGTGGCCGCCTGAGGTCCCCCGTCCCCACGCCAGCCTGCACTTGGCGTGAACAGAGGGGGCTGTGCCTCTGGCGGCTTCTGCTTTTCCTGGTGGCACACTGAGTGAGTCAGGCCGACGTGGGGGTGGAAACATGGACCGGGGAGGAAAAGGGGCCGGAAGTGGGGGAGACCGTCTTCACCCCGCAAACGGAACAAGCGCCTCGTTACGCAGAGCGTCAGCGTCAGCGGGGGGCGGGGTGTGGCGCTTCCCGGCCCCTCCGGCTTTTTCAGCCCAAATAGCAAGAAAAAGCGGCTGCGGCCCGGACGGAGGGTGGAGGAGGCCCGGGCAGGTTGCTTCGTCCTTGCACCGGAGTGACAGGTCCCGGGACCTGACCGCCCCCGTCGCCCCAGGTCTGCTGGCAGCAGCGCCGGCTCCTGGAGGAGGATGGGCCTCCGAGCGTCGTTTAGAGCTTGATGGAAAATCGTGCTTCCTTTCGGCCTCGTCCCAAGATCTTGCCGGCCACGCTCGTAACTGCCATTCCTTTGTTACCTCGGCTTGGGCGGCTTGGGGGGTTACGTTCCGAAGAGCGAAGTCACCAGTGGGCGTGGGAGGCGGAGGCCTGAACCGTCAGGAATGGCCGCGTGTCGTTACGCGATTCAGATTGTCTTGTTCTTTTTCGTGCGACGTTCCGTTAGCATTTTCCTGAGAGATCTCTTTTCTCTGTTCTTCAGTGATTGTTCTAGAAGGCAAACTACGGCTTCTGCAGTAGGATTTCATTTCGTTTGCCTCTGACTGAGCTTCCTTCTTCACAGAGGAAATAACGCTGGGAAACGGTAAGAGTCTTTAAAAGGGTTTTTGATGTTTTTGACCGTTTCAGAGTCCGAGTTGCAAGAACTCCCTGAAGTGCTGGACCTGCTTTCGGCTCCCGAGCTCAAAGCCCTGGGGAAGACGTTCCACGTGGCGAGTCCTGGCGGCCAGAGGCAGCAGCTGGCGGGCGCTTTGCTCAGACTGGCCAGGCAGCCCTCGGTCTGCCCTTGGGCCCAGGGCCAGCCCGGAGTCGGCACCGTGATTTTAAAAAGGTTTTGTCGCATGTTGTCATAGCAAACGCATTTAGAACGTTGGTTTTGCACATGGGTTTAGAATAGGTGGTTCCTGTTTCCTGTTGTAACTGCTCATTTCATCTTGGGCGCCACGACTGGATGCCTTCTCGGTTTCTCATTCATAATTCTTATCAGACCGTACTAATTTCTAGGACCGAGAAAAATCAGTCGGATTTTTATTTATAACCTTTTTATTGACGTGGAATCTGTCAATCTTCGTATGCAACTTTTCTTGAGTTTAAACCTAAAAATTTACCAAAACCGGGGTGGTGTCATTTATCTTTGTTTGCAGATAAAATCTCATTTCATCCTCACCGTGACCCCAGGGGAGGCTCTGAGCCCCAGAGAGGTTATGGAAACCTCCGTGTCCCTTAGCTGAAAGTGACCGATGGGCTTCGGGCTCGATCGTGAATGCCCCTCGACCTTATCCCACCTGGATGTAATTTCTGAAATCCGACGTCCGAATGCTGAAAAGCCAGAAACCCGTTTTGCTTCGCATGTCCGCAGAGCGAAGGCCGTGGCAGGACCGGCCCTGAGGGTGCATGGTGTCCCGCGGGACGTGTTCTCTCGTGCCCTGCTGCTCTTCGACCTGGCCGAGGCCCCGGAGGAGGACGGCGGCCGGGACCCGCTCACGGCCGTGCTGCTGGCCGGCCTGGGCCGGGTGGCATTTCCTCGGTACACCGTCAGCCGGACAGCCCGCATCTTCCAGGACAGAGACGACCTCATCAGGTCAGGTCAGGCGAGCGGCCGGGGGCGCCGTGGGTCCCTAGGCGTCCCTAAGGGTTGACCGTTGCGTTTTGCCGGCCACGGCGGACACCGAAGTCCGCAGCCCAAACGGTGGTTTTGTTCTGTTATTTGCTGCCTCACGTGTACGCGTTTCTGGGACGACGGGGGGGACGTAGGGACGTGTCGGGTTACCGGGGGGTTGGGGCCGAGCTGCGAACGTCTTCTCTGGCTTCGGTTCCCGAGTGGCTTCGGCAGGAAGCATTTTTGAGCGTGTCGGGGGGAGACGAGGGG